GAGGCGTTATATTTTCGGACAAACATCCCCCTTACGAGGCAGTAACAATGAAATCACCTACGGTATTTTACGATCTCAACGTAACTTCCATGGCATAAAGTAAAGAGGTCAATACGTATTTTTGCCAATTGTTTTCCTTGTTTAACTTCCGAAGGGTCATGTTGTGGGTTCAATCAATAAATCTGCCTAAATTTGAACGGCGAATGAGCAACGCCTTGGGGAATCGTGGTTCTTGTTTGTCTTTTGCTCCGTGAAATTTTGAGGCTGTATGTAACGTTATTTTGTGTGGTATTTTAATTGACTAATCAACGGTCGATTTGAGCCTTAATCCTGAATTGTTTAAGGACAATTTATACCTTTATTTAGGTAAGTATGTTTTTCTCTTCTCAGCGTACTTCTGCATCCCACAGAAAGGTTGGGTAATCTATTCCTACGCAATTGAAGTAAAATTACTTGCTTTAAATATTGATAAAGATAGACATGGGACATCATTGCCAGTGGGCAATTTTTTAGTTACAGCACTTGGTGAAGCGCTATAACAAACTAGCAGCCTACATTTATCTTTTATGGATTAACGCCACTGAGCCCAGATTCCGGGTCCTTTCGCACATCCAAACCCCATGTGGAATGAGGTCATGGTTAATTAATATAGTGGTGACAAATGATTCGTTCACCAAACAAGGCAAGGATCTTTTGTACTGTATTGCCAACAGCCAGTTAAATTCCACACCTATTCAAATTTATATGAGGTATGGTAGGGTACAAAAAGACTAGAAGAATTTAGGACAAAATGTATACTCAAAGCGAAACTCTACATAATCAGATGTACTCATACGAAAATTTGACTTTCCGTTCTCTTTCGCGAAGCAGGCTTTCGTTCAATTTCACAACCTAGTTAAATCTTGCCCAAACAAATATTTACGTACTATGGTCGTACGTATGTAATGTGCGATAATAAATATAGCAACATTATACAGTATTTCTCGACAGTTTACCTGGCTGTAACTCAATAATGTTTTTATTATGATTATTAATGACTTTCTGGTTATAAGGAAGCTGAGTGTGTTCAGTTGTTGCACGATTCACTTAGAACTTCGAACTCATATTTCAAGGTGAGTTTAAGTGAGTTATGAGAACTATGTTAGGCTCACTTGGCCTATCTGGTTAATGAAGTCTTTGGATGACTCATGGTTGCTATCACCTATCCCAAGACATGTAATATTTCAAAGTAGCATAGCAACTGTACCATCCTTCAAACAGGAACTAAATATTCTTTTACCAGGACTGGACGATGGTAAAATTAGAATGGGCTTATGACGCTGTCTTTTTTTGGATGATGAATTTCGTCACCACGGCTACTACAAATAAATGCTGATTGGCGCAGCACAGTATTCCAGTAAAATAGATGGGAATCGGCATTGGCCATTCTCCATTACTTTTACGACACGTACGGGAGGAGATGACGCTATTTTAGGACGACACCGCACTGCACAGCAATTTTATAAAACAGATATTCAAATTTTCCCGTATAACTTTAGGGAAAAGTTAGAATAAAAAAGAAAAACAAATTGATAATTCGTTTCTTATATTAAAATTCGAACTTGAAACACTCCATTAACTTCTCCACTTCACTTCCGCTAGGACGCAATTAATTATCTTTGGAATCAAAAACTCGATTGTGTTGTTCTTAACGTAACCGAATCTACCTTTTTAATTAATTCTAGCCTGATTAAGTTAATTAAGGCGCCATTTTTAATATCCGAGTACGTTTTAGAAACATTTTGTACTGTAGTGTTGGTAGCACTGGCGGGTGCTTTTAATTTTCATCCGGTCGTCTGCGGCGGCTCTTTCATTACTTTTCGGGTTTTTGATATTAAAAAAGATAATAAGGTTTCGAAATGAGCCTTTTTTGTTGCCATTAAGAAAATTAAATTGAAGCTACATATTTTCGTGAATTTTGTCGTTCATTTAGTATTTTCTATAGGGGAAGAAACATATACGATTTATTGTAACCGGTTGATGGTAGCAATCTTTCAGCTTCCCAGCCGTAAAATTTCGTAAGCATTGGACTAAACCAGAGTACAAGAAAAAATGTCAGTGAATTTTATAATCTAATAACATTTTAGCTTATTTTTTTCGTGAATCCTTGCTCGAGACAGCAATCCACTTAGGGTCTTGAGCGTCGCCACCTGCTCCGGATATTGCATCGTTGGCAACCTTAACAGTATATCCGGTATCACCGTAAACAGATTTTCGTTATTTCAGGCCAGATTTTTATTTTCAAGAAACGTTTACAGGTTTACTTGTTTGAATATAGAATAATGTAGTTGTAAGAATTGCATGTTGCTGTAAGTTTTGTCAAAATTTTTATGACCAGCCGCTTGCCTATCGTCAGCCCTGCTTGGGGATGCTTTTGTTGACCTTGGGCCTTGGTTGTATTGGTTTGAGTCAGGATGTGGCTCTTAGTCGCCTTCTACGACACCCATGAGCTAAGTTTGGGTTGGGAATATTCTTAGGCGCCCACTACACGCAAAGAGAGTTTTAACTATGAATGTGGAAGGCTTTAGTCGAAGAGGTAGACTTAAGAAAAAATTTATGGATTTCGTTAAAGACGATATGTGTAAGGGTTAGGAGTGAGCGAAGAAATGGTATATGATAGAGGAGTGTGAAAGGAGAAAACATGTTTCGCCGATCCTAGGTGACTGGGAGAAGAGCAGGAGAATGAATGATGATGATGATGATGATGATGACAGTTATAAGATGTGCACTGGTTTTACCGTCACATATGTTAATACGGTGGGTGGTTCAATTGTATACACACATGAACAGACTTCACTTTGAATCGATCAGTACTGCGGTCATTCCCCACGGAGTATTTACTGCGTCAACACACATTTCCAATATACGCTTTAACTTTTGATGGGGTATCGTTTAATTTTCAATTAAAATTCATGTTTAGATGTCACTTGATGTATCCTAGGAGGCGTTCGTTATAATCTGACACTGCGATTTGAATTTACTCAAAATTATATCGAATTCTCGAACTGTGTTTAGATGATTAAAATTTTCTTCTTGTTTTTGTTAGACTGTAGACGTTATCGCTCGAGATAGCGAGATCAACACACAGCCGTCGCGCCGTCAACCCTGAGGTATAAGTTAGAAACTGTATGTATTTATCATATCCCCAGATTATACTAATGTACTAATCTTTAAATTAGAGCCCATTTTTTCAATACGATTGTTGGTATTTGGAACTGTTTGAAAAAGTATTGTTAATGGTATTTAGATTGGCCGAAGAGACAGCTCGCTCAGCGATATGTGCAAGGAACATTATTTCTGGCAATAATGCACAGCTACGTTTAATTTAAATAAATACTCGCAGGAGAGTGCCCTGACAGGATCCCATCATTTCGTTCTTACCATAACACCGGGCGACACTGGAACTCACCGATCACTCAACACAGAATTCACCATTAATAATATAAGCTACTGCGTTCGCCAACAGTGCGATTTCAGGGATCTTTTCTACCACGTATGTGCCGTCCGATTTTGGAATGAACTTGAGCGCTATGACGTGTTTTTCTTCAATGAGGTCTGCAGTGACTATTCAGTAGTAGGCAGCGGCTTTGCTGTATCCCTGGCATTACCGACGTCCATGAGCGAATGTAATCTCGTCCGAATTCGATGCGAATCCCGATAATCGATTTTTCTCTGTATACCCAGATTGTCGGGTCACAAAGCTTCTACAGAAAAAAACAGTAGCCCGATAAGTGTGAAATGTAAATGTTGTACGTACAAACATTGGCACAACGGCGGAAGCTTTGCTGAATATTCACGATACACCGTTAAAGCCTGTATACTATGACCTATTTTGGGATGTTACCTGTTATTTTAAATTTGGGGTCACGGTACAGTGGTCTCTTGTAATATTCTAACGTATTATTATAAAAGTTAAACTGTATAGGCTCGTTGAGAGTGACAGTTAACTCGTGACAAATTCGTTACGGCTAGAGAGAAAAGATACAGTTTTGGAAGAGCGAGAGTGAGAAAATAGACAGAGCGTCTCGCGAATCACTCAACTGTGGAGAAAGGGGAAGGACAAAGCGAGCTAGGTCGTTTATCTTATACACAGTATTCCCTGGTACGCTGCACGCGGACCAAGTTGCACGCGCGCCGTTTTCAATCCGATTTCATTTTTAATTTTAAAAAATTTCATCTATATTGTTTATAATAAGCACATGTAAAAGCGTCTGTAACGCCTTACTGTGCATTTTTGTTAAAGGATCAAGACTGGGCAAACTTCTGCGTTATCGGTTTCCTGAACGCTATCATTAATTCGTACGGTCGGGTGTCTGTTTAAAGTGTTGCTTGTAACTAGTTGCAGTCGTTTCTCCGTCTATTAGCCGGAGCCAATTGAGGAAATCATGACGCCGGCTTCAAAAGTGTCGTAGCGTGCAGCCTTTTTGACAGGACATATGACCAACGTCGATTAGACATAGACTAAGACGGAAACTTGGCATGGTTATATAAACATATGCGTAGACTACTGACGTTTGCAACAATATTTTTTTTATTTTTTTAGCTTAGATGGATGGACGAGCTAACGGCTTACCTGACGTTAAGTGGTAAATGGAGCCCATAGATATCCACAACGTAAATACTGCCCCCCACCTCGAAACATGAGTTGTAAGGTCTCAGTTTTTACAGTACAACGGTTGCCTCGCCCTTCAAACCGAAACACATTACTGCTTCACTGCAGAAATAGCCAGGGTGGTGGAAGAAGGACATATCATAATAGCATTTGGGAAATACTACTATATAATTAAGTAAGTATTTTGCGTTTAATCGTCATGAAAATCTTCACTTATGTAATTAACCACGATCTGATTAAACAAAAACAGTTTGCGCAAACATCGAATTCCTTTACTTTACATTACTAATGAAACGCATTCAGTCTAATACCGTTTATGAGCAAAATTTGCGTCGAGAATCAGACGAGTTCAAATTTTCTTCTGAAATATAAATTTCGGTGCGTGCTCTTTAAATATACTTTCCCAGAAATCTATTTGATCCTCTTCGGGTTTCTTGGACATGGCAAGTTCATTGTCAATTTTAAGATAATCTTGTGTTTCCAGAGTATATGGAGTCCATTTAACGCCTAAATTGTTGTCTGGAGTAGGATTCCTAAAAACAAACTTTTCGTGTTAACAAAGCAACGCAACAGAAGAGTATTCTGGGAATTCTTAAGTCCCGGTTTTTTGGCCGTACCACAACTTTTGTTTGTAGTACAAATCAGTAATTAAATTGCTTAAGTACTTTTTAAGAGAAACTGGGAAGACTGGAGTATCCATCATGAATGTACATGTGTAGTATAATTTTCACTTACCCATACTTTGCGAAATTAGTCCACAAAGTTGTAATGTTCTCTATCATTCGAAAAGTGTCTGAATTCATATCCACGTTCTCCTTAAAGAGTTTAGAATCAAATATGTAAGTTAATTCGTCACCGTGTCCCACAGCTTGTTGGCCTTCAGTCGTTACATCTAGTCCATACCAACCTCCTATCAAATTCCTCTCTGATTTACATGAAAATTTGTATAAATAAAGAAGATTTTTGTTCTGAGCGTAAGCTTTAGCAAACTGTATCGTATCGAATATAAACGATTCCATACTTATATATCTACTTAGTTGTTTCCAATCTTGCTTCTTGACAATGCCGCTTTCGAAATAGAATGACCTAATTTTTCGTCCAATATCCAATTGTTTGCTAATGGTACAGATTCCACTCAATGAATTCGGTACAAAGTATTCGTGGAAATTGTTCGCGTCGACCAAATATGTATCGAAATTTTTGGGTTTTGGTAATAATATTATACCTTCATCGCAATTATATCCTGTTAATATTTCTATATCTGCAATAATTTTATTGGCTAGTATATCGTGAATATCACCATGGAAAAATATTTCTTCATCATTAAACTGTTTTTCGTTTACTATAGAGTAGATCGGACCTCCATATGGTTTTAAAACATCAGCTAAAGTTATATTTACATTTATATTTACAAGCGCTTCAATGGGTAATGATTTAAAAAATTCAGTTAATTTTTCATCTTCTTCAGAATAGAACCCTAACTGTCTTGCTAGTGCCAATGCTCTTTCTCTGGGTTCGGTATTTTGCCCCCACCACATGTTAGATACGCCGCTTTGAGCTATTACCCTTCTAAAGAGTCCTTTAGTCATTGGTGAGACTAAGTGGTAACAAATGCTTACTGCGCCGGCGCTTTCACCAAATAAAGTTATGTTATTAGGATCGCCGCCGAAGTTGCTGATGTTCTTATTAACCCACTTTAAGGCTGCCACCTGGTCTTTCATGCCGGCGTTACCAGGAATATCTTTGGTGTGTGTACATAAAAAACCAAGTATTTCAAGTCGATAGTTGATAGTGACAAGTATGACGTTATGTCTTAGCAAGAACTTAGGGCCATAAATATCATCGTTGCCGCTTCCAGTCTTGAAATATCCTCCATGGATCCAGAACATTACTGGCCATGATTTTACCGGATTGACGTCTGGGGTGTAAACATTGAGATACAGGCAATCTTCGCTACCTTGACCGGATCGATTCAATATCGAATTCATTTGGTAACACATAGGTCCAAATTTTTTTGCACTACGTAATCCGTTCCAACGTTTTGGAGGTTTTGGTGCCTATAATTGGAAATACTGGCATAATATAAATAGATAAACGCTCATCTTCAAGGTGTCCAAGCTAGGATTTTATTATTTCTTGTGCTATGAGTGCTGGAAATAGATACGAGATAAGAGCAAGTCAAGCGGAAGACAGGAAGTCCTAACATAGACCATGGTCCTAACAAAAGTGCTCCGTAAAGGTCACGACCCTCAGCACTGAGGAATACGACGCACGGAGGCGAAAGAGCAAGTCAAACCCCGACTTGAATACCAATAAAATTTTATACTTGATAGTATAGTAGTGCCTTCAAACGAGATGTCCTTCTTCAAACGAGGCTTGCGGAGAGTATTAAAAGGTAGGCAGCGGCTTGGCTCTGCCCCTGGCATTGTTAACGCTCATGAACGACGGTAACCACTTACCATCAGGTGAGCCGCATGCTCGTCGGCCTACAAAAGCAATAAAAAAACACTACTCTACCATTACCAAATTCACCAACCATTCAACTAACGAATCAAATCTATTATATACCAATTTTGGTACCAGAGTGTGATTTCTGTACAAATTGGTAATTAAATAAACTCTTCCGGAAATATGGCCTCATGACTTGCAACCGATTTGTGTTTGTTCAAATCTGCTAATAAGTTCTGAGAGGTCCAGATATTTGTTTTTTTTAATTAGTGTGAAGTGTGTTACGAGTATATACGAAACATTACCTTAAATCTGAGATCTCCGACGGGCGGTGTTGCATACGGTATGCCCTTGAAGCTGTAGAATGTTCCTCCATATTCGTTCTCCTCTTTTTCGCCTTCCAAAAGACCCTCATTGACGTGTACTATAGTCATGTTATAATTAATTCGGGACATCGATAACTGAAGTATACGACAAGTCGACCAAAATACAATTGTTCAGTATGTTCTGATCAATGAAACAATGAAACCGTGAAATCGATAATATATCACTCAAGACAGCTCATTAAGCATTGATAAAACTTATTCTTTAATAAGGCCGTGTAATTTATTATATTTCCATAATGAAATTAATTGATACCAATTGCTTAAACATACTCAAACCAAAAACGCATATGGAGGAAAAAAGTGTTTCAAAAAGTGTTCAGTTTTATTTCAATAGCTAGAATAAAATGCAAAGAGATCACGTTGAAGTAATGTTCGAGAATGCTGACTAGAATAATAATTTATTGGGATAGATTATAAAAAGATAGTCAGCGGTGGGTCTTTCGAACCATGTTTCTTCGAGTTAGAAACTAAGTTAATGAGGTCTTTATTCACAAATTAATAGCCTCTTTTTCTCGATGATATGTACTCCTTTTTTCTTGTTTCTCAAACAACGTTTGATAAATGTCCATGATGATCAATTGAACAGTTAAGACGGAAAAGCACTTCAAACAAACAAATTCACATTCGAATTCAAGATGTTAGTATGGATGTTTTTTTGAAACTATGACTACCGCGATTCGAGTTCTTTAAGCGGGTCTAGTTTACCCGGTTAGGATCACGCAGTAACTACCACATAGCTTGGACTTACTTATAGAAGAATCTACTACATTAGTTAGATTGTATCAAGGGCTCTACCCAGGACGTGCGATGACAATTATTCTACTACCAATGGCTGCGCAAATTTAACTCAAAACGCTATAGACGTAAGCCGTAAAATCGTAAGTCTTCCATTGGAGTATACTAAAAATGTTATGGTAATGACAATATTACTAAATTTACTACCTGCAGCTACTAATGAATGTCTGAAGTGTTACAGACTGTATAAAAAAATTCGAACATGACCAGGAGCATAATTTGTGTTCAGTAATAATTAAATCGACGCGTTACATACTCTATTTACGCACTTTGTAATTTTAAGTTTGTTTTCTTAGTAAATGTCATAAATTTAATCGAAGTGAAGGTCTTTAATTTATTTCAAAAAACGTAGTTTCATATTACTTTGTAAGCACACTTTGGACACTCCACATTGAATTATTGAGTTAATAGCTAATCACAAGAAGAAGAACTTCGTGAAAAACGGATTCTCATTTCCCTCTATCAATAGACCGTCCATTTTAGACCGTAATACATTACATATTCGGTCATATTGCCCTGCCCGCTGACAGTCAGATAACTTGGACAAAGCGATTGTGACGGGCAAAGTAGAAGGAAAGAGACCCCGAGGCCGATTACCTAGCCGTTGGTGTGATCAAATAATCGCTCTAACTGGGTTGCCAGTCGCAACCGCCATTCGGGACCGGACGAGATGGACAAGATGGACGAGATGGATGCTAGTAACAGCTCACGAGACAGGCCACGGTCAAGTTTCAGGGACACGACCTTCAGTAATGAAGAAAGCGACGAAGAAGAAGAAGACATTACAAAACTTCAATGCATTTGTTTGTGCATTTCGCTGTAGAAGTCGCCATGAACGTGTTTATTATGTACTTCCTTAGAAATACCTATTTGTACCTACCTGCGGTATTCGAACACAGTTGTTTGTGTATTTCGTCGTAGAAGTCGCCATGTGATAAATTTAATTGAATTGAAGGTCTTTAATTCATTCCAAAAACCTTAGTTTCACATTGCTTTATAAGCACACCTTGGGCAGTTCACACTGACTTATTCAATTAATAACCTGTTACAAGAAGAACTTCGTAAAAATGGATTCTCATCTCCCTTTGTCAATAGACCGTCCATTTTAGATCGTAATACATTACAGAACTTCAATGCAGTTGTTTGTGCGTTTCGCCGTAGAAGTCGTAAACGTGTCTATTATGTATTTATTTCCTTGGGAGTATATCGACGTTTGAAAGGCAAACGTGACTAAGCGATAATGCGTGAACTTTACATTAAACTAATTTAAAGTTGAAATACCTGAAAAAAAACTATTTTAACGAATCTAGCTGTAGGATTGAAATGATTTTAATAGACCTAGAAATATATTCTTTTTGCGCATCGAATATGGTTATTGCCTATCATTTATGTACAAAGCAGTTATTGTCGTTTAGTCACGTTTGCCTTTCAAGCGTCGATATGTACCTGCCTGCGGGATTCGAACACCGCCACCTCGCATCTCTCATTACAGGACGTTTTATCCTTTAGGCCACGAAGACATTCGTTTAGCTCTTCCGTAGTAGCAGGATCCTGCTATTAGTTACAGTTTCTTTTCCTAGTTACTGTCATTGAAACTGTGTTCTTAGTTAGTGTTAATTATGGGCAAAGTGGACGGAAAGAGACGTGCTGGGCGAAGAAAAAAGTCATGGCTCCGGAATATCCGGGAGTGGACCGGTATTGCCTCCGTCGAACAGCTGTTCCGGCTGGCTGCTGACAGAAAGGAATACAGAAAGCTAACGGCCAACCTTCAGGATTGAAGAGGCACTGGGAGAAGAAGAAGTTAGTGTTAATAGATGGAATTGTAATCTCACTCGAATGGGTACCAATGTATTTCTGTGTAATTACTATATAACCTACTTATTATCTTCTACCTCATATTATCGGGAGTCGAATGACATATTACCGTAGGGGTTTTCTGTTATTAAACCTGTTGCGTCTGCTGTCTACGTGGATGATGTGTTCCCAAAAATTGAGCTTAAAAGAACAAACGTATCAGCTTTCCCCTAATAATTTGATCTGCTAAATAGGTACAACGAAAAGCTCTTAACTTCCCTCCGAACTCAATACGAATTCATTAATAAATCAAAAGTATTCATTCGGTTATTTCTCTGAAATTCGATTTCGCGAAACGAAACACTTTTCGACTTACTTCTGTATCTTAATTTTGTATTTCACAACGAAGAAATTTGTCTTAAATATGTCGTCAAAATAACTCAGTAATTATTAATTTAAAATAGCCATCTCGTGAGCTCCACATTAGCTTTAGCCCACCTTAAAAAAAGGAGGAAGTTATTATTTCGAATGTTCTTTTATGTCAGTTGACTCTGAATGTTTTTCTAGTTGAACCGATTTTGATATAATTGTTAATCCAGAACATTCTGGGTAATATTTTTTATATTTATTTTCGCTATTTGATAAAAGATGGCGCTAAGCTTCCCCAGCGCTCTCGATTTTACTAGTTCTTTTGATATTCGTTTTCGCTATTTGATGACAGATGGCGTTACTTTTACCGGCGCAACAATATATATTTTTTAATTCTAAAACTGGTGCACCTGACGTGGTCCCACTTTCCCGCTTAATTGACTTCGACAACATTGACGATATTCGCATTTGATATTATCGAAGTCGGTCTTCTTTTTTGTCAAATTTTATTATTATTAGTACGAACAATATGAATATCAAAATCAAACGTCCGGCCTTGTGTCCGTACTTTAGCGATTCATCCTAAACTTTAGAGTGAGTACAACTAATGAATAGTTATTGGACCGGGTCCAGTGGAGCTTATTGTGTCGTAGTCCCCGTGGCCCGCAAACCGGATTTCGCCGGCAAATTCCGAATAGCCGGCCATTACAAGTTTGTGGCCGTTTCATGATGGTTAATATGGAATGGCTTTGATATAACTTGTTGGAGATTTTGATGATGGACAATGAGTTTCAAGGACAAGAATTACAGAATTTCTCGAGACAGGATGATTTTGGTATTTTGGTAGTTTGGGTATTGGTCGTTGTTGCCCAAACTCTAATGTCCGGTGTATTTTTATGAAGCCATGATTGTCAAAGTCGATGAACTTGTATGAATGCGCCCCCTCCTTTGAGATACGGAGGGCGGAGTCTATTGTATTCTATAATGGCAGTCACTCTCGTCAAATCGAAATTAATGACGGTTTTGCGGTAGAAGTAGTCAGGTTACTAGTATCCGCCTATAATCCGGTTTAAAATATCCGGTAATAACCGGTTGATAATATCCGGTTTAAAATATACCCGGAGATAAAAAAATAAGTAGTTTTTGGAACTTCTGGGATATGTGAAACGTTAAAGTTGAAATGAATGAAATAAAACGAATTAGAGAATAAAGTTAAAGAGATATACAAATAATACCTGTGCAAGTTGAGCACTCTGGATCCAAACAAGGCTTTAGGTTCAGGTAGTTTTGACTTTCATTTTTATTTTTTGTTTTATTATTATTATTTATTATGTACGAAGTTTTTATTCTCGAATTTTTATGAATTTCGGTAAAAACTGAAAACCACGGACCTAAGCCAAGTGGAGTACCTATTTATATTAATATTATTTTTATTGTATTCCGAAATTGTAGTTATTGTTTTTATTTAATTTTGATATTCTATATGGAATGTAATATAGATGCAAAATCTAAATAAATGAAATAAACAAAATAAATAAAATAAAAATACGCAGTACACAACTCACACAGAGAAACAACGAAGGGTCTAATATGCGCACGCACACACACAAGGAAGTCGAGTGCGATGGCGTAGAGTCGTTGACATAAGAGAGTGTTATGGCGTCTTCCATCACTTTCGCATGGATCGATTTTACTTTTAAGACGGATTGATACATTTCCTACATCAAGCCTAGTAATTTAAGTTTTTGGGTTCAGGTATTGTGGGTTAACGCGGCACTATTTTAATTTATTTTTCTCAATAGCCTTACAACATCGAAATTGTATTTGTCAGTTTGTTTTTCATTTATACAGTAATGGAATCGTACGAAGTATTTCTTTTCGTACAGAAATCACTTGTTTCGGCTGCTAATCTCAGACGATTTGGTCTATTTGGTTAATTGTTTGAAATTCATCATCATCTTTAGCTCTCCTTGGCTTGGTCGAGCGAAATCTTCCATTCGTTTCCAGGCAACGTCTTGATTAAAAACCTTTTTTTTTATTGCGGTTATGCAGCCATCTGAGCGTCTACAATGCCGATCTTTTTACAACACAAAAAGGTGTGCATACGTAGAAAAAGTATTATTAATTTTAAAAACAAACTTAAAGCTTTAGAAATCAATAATCCTCGCAAAAATTCGTTTACTTTCGTATGTAGAACACATGGACTATAATTCAAACAAAATAAAAGCTGTAAGGTTAGAAGTAGCTTTTTTTAAAATCTTAGATTGGTGGACGAGCTCACAGCCCACCTGGTTTTAAATGGTTACTGGAGCCCATAGACATCCACAATGCAAATGCGCCACCCACCTTGAGATATAAGTGCTAAGGTCTCGAGTATAGTTACAACGGCTGCCCCACCCTTCAATACGAAATACGCGGGATGGTGGTACCTACCCGTGCGGACTCACCAGAGGTCCCACCACCAGTAATAACCACGCAAATTATAATTTTGCGGGTTTGATTTTTATTACACGATGTTATTCCTTCACCGTGGAAGTCAATCGTGAGCAAAAGCTGCCAGCAAACAGATGTATATAATAATATACCGTATGTATCTAGGCGAGGTAGTAATGAAGAGTAATATAGTTTCTAAGAAAAATATATTTCGTCTATTTTCCATACCTTTCCCATTAATCCGGCTACGAAATATTTTCAAAACATAAATTTATATGTAAACTCAAACTTCGAGCCGCACACTGGGCCCGCGATACAAAGCCACATAATATGTTTAAACCGGCTAAAACTAGTTCGCACCCCCTTAACTAGTTAACACAGTCAAGGACTTTCAACTATGAAGTCTTTGAAGCAGTAACTTTGCGAGCCGGGAATATAAATCGTATTAAACTAATTATTATTGTTGTTTGGTTCGTTATCGAATTGAGAAAACATAGGTATATATTCGTAATATGGCCTTTCAAATGGGATTCTGAGGAGATTTTTGATCCCCTCTTTGGGTTTTGTATCTTTAGGTGTAATATGGGGGATCGACCAAATCCGCACCACACTAGAGATTCTTTTCCACGAAGCCCTTCCTTCTTGCAGTCAATGATCGTAGGCGCTGGCAACTCACAGACACAGCCCACTGAGTTTCTCACCGGATCTTCTCAGTGGGTCGCGTTTCTGATCTGATGGTAGATTCTGCGAAACAGTGCTCTTGCTAGGGCCAGTGTTAGCAACACTCCGGTTTGAGCCCCGTGAGCTCACCTACACGTTAGGGCGAAGCTGATATAGCCTCTCAAGGCTATCAGCATGTATGAAAAAAAGGAGGCGCTGGAGGGATATTACAAGGAGTAAAATCCTGTCGAAATAAGATGGTCACGACCCTCAGCAGTGAGGAAACGACGCGAGGAGCAGCAGTATGGGCTGTAACTAAAACACATAATGTAGGTAGATAGATATCACTATAATAAACTTAAATAATTTGAGAAGATCACGAAATCTCCTTAAACTATTTTTTAAATTAAATTATATATCTCTCAAATTATCTTTTATTTTTTCGTGACCATTGAATGAAATCCCTTCCACGGTATTTGCTTATACCGTGGAAGTATATATTATACCTGCCAACAAACCAGGCTCTAGAAATGTCAGTCCATGAGCGTCAGTGATCATTTTTACAACTAAGTTGGCCGCTGTTGTTATTGTAGTCCCAGGGTACTCCGCTGATACATAGGGCCCTCACAAGTTGCCTCCGCTTGACCCTGTCTTGCTCTTGCTCCTTGACATCACTCCAGGTCACGTTGGCAGTCCTCATCTCACTCTCCACGGTGCGTCACCAAGTATGTACAAATAAAATCAAATTTTTTTTATTCAACTTGTATGAAAGTACATACTTGTTGATCGTCAAAAAGAACTACCGCCAATTCAGAAATACTAGCCTCCGTCCTGAGAATAACTGGCATGAAACTCAGCGGGCATGTCTTTTTTTTAAATATTAGATTATTTTTTTAAATATTTATTTTTACAATGAGTATTATAACGTAACAATTATTGCAATATTGAAATGCCCGGAGCGAGCAACTCATTCCCACTTTGTGCAATCTTCTAGATAATCGTTGACTTTATAGTAAGTAAGCTTTATTGCACCGATATTCTTTAATAGTTTTCTTAAACCTATGTATATGTAGGCTCTGAACATCTTGTGGGATTTTGTTGTACAGGCGCACAGACAAACACCCGAATGAATTTCGTATCTTATGTAACCTACTCATCGGCACAACAAGCTTGTGTTTGTTCCTAGTATTTCTATTATGTATGTCCGACTTTTTAGGAAGCTCCTCAATATGTTTACGAACATACATAAAATGTTCAAAAATGTATTGGGATGGCATAGTGAGAACTTTAGTTTCTTTGAATTTTTCCCTCAGGGATTCCCTTGAGTGCATGTTATAAATAGCACGTATAGCTCTTTCCGACCAGGGCGACTATGTCTTCTCCTGCCAAGCGGTTGCCACTCAAACGCGATTGATGCTGCGTTGACTTCGCTGCACCGTAGAGTGTGTCTTATCCAACGCAATTTCCGATGGGCAATGTCTTGCGCGATGGGGTTTTGGTCACACTTAGTCCAAAGTTGGCCGTAAGGTTCATTTAAACGATCATTCTTCAAAAATACAATTGAACAAAGGCGGTCAAATAATACTTCGCTTTTTTGTGTGAACATGTGATGAAAATAATTTCCAAATTACCCAGACCACTGTTTAATTATATTATATTATAATATTATATTATTCTTGGTATTCGTATGTATATCTTAAAACTGAATATCGCAATTTGTCTACAAAGCACTTGTGTAAATACAAGGGAGCCAACTCGTTGTCGCGACCGTGGATACTGAACTAAGTACGTATGACACTGTACTTGTAAAGTGTGTGATTAAATCAGATCTATTATCCACAGTTGTGACCGTGACTTGGGAATACAATGGCGTGCATACACTGTACATTTATGAGAAGTTTTCTAGTTCAAATGAGTAATATGTCGTGTATTGTGCGCAGGCGAGGAGACGGCGGCGCTCGGGAGGCGCGGCGGCGCGGGGGGCCCGCCGAGTTGACAGCATGCTGATCGTGTCCAACAACACTGGCAACCTCACCGACCCGGAGCTCGGCCTCGACCTGCCGACCAGCCCCTTCAGCCTCGCCCAGAAGATCGTCATAGCCATCATAGCCAGCGTCCTCTCCGTGCTCACCGTCGTTGGGAACTCCATGGTCATGATCAGTTTCAAGATCGACAAGCAGCTCCAGACCATCAGCAACTACTTCCTGTTTTCCCTGGCGGTGGCCGACTTCGCAGTCGGGCTGATCTCCATGCCCCTGTACACGATGTTCACGATCTACGGATACTGGCCGCTGGGCCCTCATGTGTGCGACACGTGGCTCGCGCTCGACTATCTCGCATCTAACGCGTCCGTTCTTAACCTACTGATCATTAGCTTCGATCGGTACTTCAGCGTGACACGTCCGCTGACGTACAGGGCGAAAAGGACTACGCGCAGAGCAACCGTGATGATAGGCAGTGCTTGGGGCTTCAGTTTGGTGCTGTGGCCTCCGTGGATATACGCGTGGCCGTACATTGACGGCGAGCGGAAGGTGCCTCCGCACGAGTGCTACATTCAGTTCATAGAGACGAACCAATTTATAACATTCGGGACGGCTATTGCCGCGTTTTATGTGCCGGTGACAGTGATGTGTATACTGTACTACAGAATATGGAGGGAGACCAAGAAACGACAGAAGGACCTGCCCAATCTACAGGGCGGGAAGAAACATGACTCGTCGAAAAGATCGAATTCTAGGTGAGTACCTACATTGCATATCTAACGTTTTGTTTTGCGATTCCAATCCAAACAAAAGGTACATACATTAACTCTTATATTCAATTTATTGAAACGTGACGCTAATGTAACTTGGATCCCGCAAACAAGATATACATTTCGGTCAACTATTGGACCGAAAAGCCCCTGAAATATCCTAAACTATTGTGTGGGTTCTCAACAATGCACAATGAGTGCTTAAAGCCCGATTTCACACTTGGACCGTCACAGGATTCGGCCACACAAAGGCGAAGCTGTGTACAAAGGAACTCTTACGACGTACTGAACTGAACCGTTCCATCCCAAGCACCGATGTTTGTTACATGTAGCACTTTCACTTGTCCACAATATCTATGTTGTTGAATGGCCCTGACTTTTATCATCGCTCACTCTGGTCAGCCAAGATGCCGATAGACCATTAATTTTGATTGGTTTGATTGATCAATATACCAAGAATACGAAAATTAGGGTTTTTTTTTGTTAGATTCCAGTGAAACTCAGCTCTTCTCTAGCCATAGCTAAATTTTTGATGTGGTCAAGGCTTTTATGATAATAGGCCCGGTATACTTACTTGTCCTGATACGAACGTGACGGTCTTAAAATTCTTCGGTCAAACAACGCACACACTAAACGTAATCACTTGCAAAGTACCTATGATAACGGTTCTACGTGGTGAAAATTTCACTGACTATTCAATATTGTCAGTATAAATACGTAATTAGTAGAGATGAATTAATTTGATGGAATCCCAGCATCAATCATGTCAAACGTTTCCTGGGATCACGTGCCGTGAATTCACGAGTGCTCACGGTTAGTAGTGACTTGTAATGTCTTTAACAACTGAACTTCAAAATCACTTTCGCAAAGCTACTGAATACAAGGAGAGCACCAAAACGATGGTAAATTAACTGTTCAACGCAGATGCGAGCAGTGGCGGATTTATCCTAAGGCTCCGTAGGCCCGGGCCTAGGCCGACAACACTTAGGAGCGGCCCCAATCGTATCAAAAAACTTATTATAACGCATGGCGGGCGGACTGTACTGCATGGTGCAATCTATACCGCATAAAACTATATTTTTTTCCTAAGTTTCTAAATCTATTTAGATAAAAGTTGGCAATAAAGTAATTTCATTATGTAGTCCATATGGCGGATGCTGAGAAAGGGGCGGCTGATGTCTTGAGGCCTAGGGCGGCCGAGACTGCAAATCCGCCACTGGATGCGAGCTCGTAAACGACAATTTTAACCTCAGACCCGCGTATTTTATCCGGCGGATCCAATAAAAATACCTATCTTGTAAGAGCCTTTAAAAATTTCATCGGACGAGCACCTCCACAGCCCCCTTCTCCCGCAGATAGGGAGGGCGTGGCTCACCCTTTAGTGGGAGCATTCGTTCGCTGCGTGCAAGCCTTTTCATTTTCACCTATTCAAAACCGGTTTGTGTATTGAGATGTTCTTGTGAACCGTACACTTGATTATTACTGTTCTGTCTGTCTGTTTACACGAGATCAAGTTACAGTTTATATGATAGGAAGCGGTGACCGAAGACGCTCATAGTTCTAATGGAATTGGAATATCAATCGGACGTTTTATAGCAACTTAGATTGTATATTCATCGATTCATTGATCGTCACACTTCTGTTACATATTTGTAGAATGCTTACTTAAAAGAATTTTTTACCTAGAACGAATGTACGCCTTATTTGAATAAGATAGAGATTAGTATGTTACTTATTCTACGTCATAATTTAAATGAATTTTACGGTTTCATAATGGTAATATAAAACGAGAGATTAAAAAGTAAAAGTAGTTTTAATTCTGTGTTGAACTCGCAAAACCAAAACCAAAGAAAATATCATACCATATGTTGTTGCGTATACCGCCTCTCTACTATCTCTTTGTAAAATTATTTCGATACATTTAATATGATAGCATATTTCTTTAAATGTATACACAATCTTAAGACTACGCAGATTTTGAATTTAAGTTCTGAGATTGTGTAAACAGTAGTCAAACAGAATTGTGATTTCGAGATCGCATTTTAATCTAATATCTAATTTGTAGTGTTGATGGCTTATCAGTTTAAAAATTCAATTAAATAACATGTAGACAAGTCGTAATTATATGTCTTCGAACGGGAATGCATATGAGCGTTGCAGAAATAGTGGCACCGTGCGTCTTGATTTGAATACTAATAATATACGAGTAATAATTACTGGGAACAAATCGCGCACGGTCATCCGGCCCCGATTTAGGATTCCCTGTGTTATGGATACCAGTGATTGAGATACATACTTATTTTCTTCTTCCTTTTCTCCACCATATCTCACTAGGTGGGGTAGGCACAGAGAATTTTTCTATTCCATTCTCTTCTATCAGCCGTCATTTCAACACTCCTCTTACAAACACTGAGATACATACTTATATACATTTAAATATACACACACATATATAGCAAACACCCAGCCAAAGAGCAAACAAACCTGTTAATTACACGAATGTTTGCCCAGTTTGGGAATCGAACCCACGCACCTCGGCACAACAGTCATAGTCGATAACTACTGCACTATCAAGTCAGTCTATAAGTATCGAATATTCGCATCAAACAAACCGCTGCCATTATAGTCTTATACAACGATACGCTATATTAGTGTTACGCGCTGGGGCTCGGGATAAAGAAAACTTCCACCGAAGTACAAATTCAAACTCTATTTAACACTTAAAACACTTACAGAATACTTTACAATTCGTAATTCACTTCTTTCGGTTCGCTTCAGGTGATCCGTTCGCTGTTTCGTTTCGAGTAGATTCGTTAAATGGCTTCGTGTCATCTCTGCAACGCTTTTACAGTCGATACGACATCCCTAGAATTATAGAGAACATTTCTGACAGGTCGAGTAGTTCCGATATGGATTTCCGCTATATGATAATAGATGGCGTTGTACTTTTCGATCGTTCTCGATTTTAGTAGCTCTTTTGATATTCGTTGCTGGCCTTCGACGTTAGATGGCGTTGCTCTTACTGGCGTAATATTAGCAATAATTAATTAAATTAAATAATAAAAAATCTATACAATTCGAATAAAATTTGCCTAAGTCTAATATAAAATTATTGTCAATAAATGAACATGTTACAATTGTTGCAATCGACAATTAAACTGTTCAGTAAGGGTGATGACTTTAAATAAAAATACCTATAATTTGTAGTTTGAAACCGTATTAAGCTCGTATACACTTGAAATGTCGAAATTTTAATTAACTGGAATGCCAACGCACAACAATGTCGGAACACGAGTAAATTAAAAATGTGATTATTTTTCTGTTTTTGTTTTCCGTACAAGCCTTTACTGGAATCTGTCATTGTGACGAAGGTTTCTAAGCACGTAATCGCTTAAATACTGACCTCAGTACTATATTAAGAGAAAGCTTTCGGCATTCCCTTTAACTTTCATAAGCAAGCGTTAAAAAAAAATCGATAAAATATGCAGAGCTATCGTGAGAATTCCGATGCTTAGAAAATTTTTAGACATTTTTTTTCGTAAGTATTTTAATGTGTTATCGTTAGCTTATTCAAATACTTGATGATTATGGAACGTTAGGGAGTTCGAGGCACGTAGCATTGGGGAAAACTATGGAAAAACACGGTTGTTGCTTGAAAACTATTCTCAGAAAGATTCTGCAATTAATAACCTCGTCTTTACGTTCAAGAGCTGTTTAATATTCCATGAGGCGGTCCATATAGGGTGCGTTCCAGGTAAGGAAAGCCGTTTTGAAGGTTAAAGGACTCTTTATACGCGCCCCTTTACCCGGAATGTATTTATTTGAATTATTACCTAGGACTTAGCGTGGGTAGGTAGGTCTCCTACATTACCGTATACTACGACAAGCACGATGCTCTGATAACAGTTAAATTATTGCGAGGAAGACAGTTGGAAATGCGGCCAAATCATCGCCGACAAATATCTGTAATTTGTAAACCGATCTCGTCACAGTTGCTTGCGGTACGGGTTGAGTAACAAACATCTTGATCCAAATTTACTGGTGGTAGGACCTCTTGTGAGTCCGCGCGGGTAGGTACCACCGCCCTGCTTATTTCCGCCGTGAAGCAGTAATGTGTTTCGGTTTGAAGGGTGGGGCAGCCGTTGTAACTATACTGAGACCTTAGAGCTTGTATCTCAAGGTGGGTGGCGCATTTACGTTGTAGATGTCTATGGGCTCCGGTAACCACTTAGCACTGACTGTGAGCTCGTCCACCCATGTAAGCATTAAAAAATATATATATAAATGTCACCTTAAAAATACAATATTGCTTAGAACGCTATGTAAGCCAGCACGGATGAGTACCTTAATGTTACCTATTTCTATCGCGAAGAATGCGTTATTGTTTATTGGATCGGACATTTTTTTATTTTACAATACAATTTAGACTTTGATATTGTGTCCCATTTTTCTTTACGTTGCTGATACCTAGATATTAGGTGAAAGTGAGAAAAAGAGGATAGATGCTCTAGAAATGTGGTGCTGGAGAAGAATGCCGCAAATATCGTTGACGGAGTTCAGTTTTTTTTTTCTTACCTTAGCTGAGAGCCTTGAGAGGCTATTTCAGCGTAACCTTAACTATTAGGTGAGCTCACGGGGCTCAAACCTGACGACATTGCTAACACGAACCCTAGCAAGAGCCGTGCTTCGCAGAATCTACCACCGGATCGGAAACGCGACCAAGTGAGAAGATCCGGCGAGAAACTCAGTCGGCGCTGTCTGAGGGTTAATTTACTCGTCGAGTCCTTCGTCGCAAGCGACGGGTTCGACGAGAACAATGACCGGGGAGTTCAGTACGAATCAGTCAATTCTACAGGAACTCGGCATCAAGCAGCGGTAGGCAGCGGCTTGGCTCTGCCCCTGGTATTGTTGAAGTTCACGGGCGACGGTAACCACTCACCATCAATTGGGCCGTATGCTCGTCTGCCTACAAGGGCAATAACAAA